GGGAGATTGTGAAGCTCGTGCACGGGGCAGTGGTCGCTATCGAGAGCACGGCCGAGCCCAGAGGCCAACGGGCTGCTGCATTGGAAGCTCTTCCGAACCTCGCGGCGTGGAAGAAAGGCTCACGGAACGGTTCCACGTTGAAGCTCGAGGGCCACTTGCGGCGCATTACCGACTCTTTCGTTGACGAGATGTCGCCCACATTGAGGTTATTGATGACAAACGAGTTCCGTGCTAATCAGACGTCCACCGAGATTTTGGAGAGTATGACGTTGTTTAAACAGTACATGACGCAGGTATCCCAGTGCGGCCTCACTGGCTCCAAAGCCTCATGGAACAAGGGATTGGCAAACGTCGACCAAGCGCTGCCAGCGCTCCAGGCTGCTGTGAACAAGCTGACGCTGACGCCTTTCTTGAAGGACTTGAAGGGCGCTGATCTCTTCGACGCGGTGAAGGCCCAGTCGTGCCGCGACAAGGTGGACCACCTGATCGCGTGCTGCAGCGGGGACGGAGCCAGTGCCACAGGCGACGTCAAGGCGGCCGACGCCCAGAGAGTGTTTGACGAGATCCTGGGTGTGATTCGGGCCGGCGATGCCAAGGGCTGTTACAACAACACCGACCACGTGATGGACCACATCGTCCCGTTCATGCGCCAGTTGCTTCATTTCCTCCCGAGTCAGCAGGTTGCCTTGGCGAACAGCAAGATACGTTTCCTTGAGGCTTTGATGGGTGGTTTCTTAGAGCTCGGCGTCTACCACGGCCTCGGTGAGACCCCGGAGGCTCGGGCAGAGGCCGACGTCGACATGGGCCATGCCGCAAAGATCATCGCCATTAAGAATTCGGTGTTGGAAGCGAAAGCTGGCAGTGGTTTGGGCGACTTGCCAGATACCGTGACTTTCGAACATGTTGTGGCGGAGGTCTGGGAGACGTCGAAACCCTTCTACTACCGAACGATCGCCAACGAGATCTCTACGATATTGAATGGGCCTGTCGGCGACTCGAAGGACCCCGTGAAGTTCATGCACGCTGCGCATGGCAGTGCCAGCGGCAAGCCTTGGGGTGAGGGGTTGGCCGCCGACCCGTCCTTCAAGGAAATGGCAGACCAGTGGAAGAAGACTGGTGGCCTCATCAACCCCGTGGCTTTGGATGCACAGTGCCAGGCGCTAGATACTACACTCAAGCACGCCAGAAGCTTAGCAACTAAGGTCGGCCTCGATCCCAATGAGTGCAAGATCACGATGGCCGAGGACTTACTTCGAGCGGGCCAGGCAACGACGATCAGCGGATGCATCATCGCCTTGTGCCAGTCGATCCCGCCTACGCAGAAGGCCAAATTGAAGCAGTCCATCGGCGCGCAGGAGGCGAAGGTCACTGCGAAAGGCGTCTCGGATCAGATGCACCCAGCCGTCATGTCAGTGATATCGAGGGCCAAGGCCCTCAAGCCGATTGTCTAGCTAGCGTCTGTCAGTGCCATCGGGTTTCCTGTAGGCGCGTCTTCATGCATTGGGCCCCCTTTGGGTTTTTTTTCTGTTGGTTTTGTCGACAGGTCGTGGGGATACCCGCCGCCCGTTGGTATTTTCAGCGACTGCGTTGAAGCAGGGATTCGGGGCCAAACGAAATCAATGATATGTTTCTCAGGTTTCTGATGTTGGAGATTCGTGTGTGTTTGGCTACTCGTTCCGAGCTTCACTTCGCAGGGCTCTGCTCTGGCATTTGGGTCTGGCCTCTCATGCTTATGCATTAGATGTCGTGCATTCGAGCATCCCTGCAGTTAGTCAGCAATGCCGTTCATGGATGAATACATCGGCTTTGGGCCGCGCACATTTCGCAGAGACTGGTGCAGTATCATCAATCGTTGCGTCGATCATTTGTATGTGGATGTCCGTTGAGGGCGTCGGTTATCCCACTATCCGCGCCAGTTTCCATCTCTGTCTGGGTTGCCATCTCGCCCGATCCTCGCCACTGCAGGTTTCGATAACTTGCCAGCCACTCGTTTGGTTTCCATCTCTGTCTCATGCGCTCGCTTGCCATCCCTGCCCGATTCGTCCTTAGCCCGTCCGCTGTATCTTCGCCCTCGCCCCGTGGGCCTCCCCGCTCCGCCACTCCCGCCCACTGCTCCGTCCAACCGCTTCTCTCCAACCTCTCTTGCCCCGCGTGCTTGGTCAGTGTCGGGATCGATCGTGTTGGGCGTTTGTCTGGTGCCAGGTGGTCGCCCAACACCCTGGGTGCGAATGGGGTAAGTCTTGTTCGGTTGGTAGCGGGGCATAGCGCCGCTGAGCGGTTCAGCGCCAGCCCATCCTGGAAACGGCGCGGTGGCTCATGCGTGGCCGCGCTCTACCTCCTGCAGGGGGTCTGCCTCCGAATCGCATCGCCAAGCTGGCTCTCGCATGGTCAATTCCAGCCCCCCCCCCCATGAGGTTGAATCTTCGATAACTCGAAAGATAGATTCTAAACGAACAGATATCCCTAAACCTAGTCCAAACACAATTCAAAGTTAGTTTTGCGAAATACACAAAGGATAACTTAAAGGCTTAATCCGCCCTCTCAACCTAAGCCATCCTGAAGCTTCCCAGAATTCCCGGGGATTCCCTGGTACTTTCTGAAGCCTCTTGCGGCTCCCTGGTGACCCCCTGGGGACCCCTGGGGACCCCCTGGGGCTTCCTAGGGCTCCCTGGGGTTCCCTGTGGCTTCCTGGAGCTTCTTGCCTCGCGTCGGCGGTTGAGCTATGGCGACCGCAGTTCGATCTTTGGCGAATTCAGGAGCTGCGGCTGTGGGTCTTCGACGTCCTCGACGTCCAGCTCCGGGGGCTCACCGCCATGCTTAGAACCCTTGGGCGCTCCCGCGAGGGTCGAAGCCCGAATGGCTGCACGCGGGAGGCACGTTTCGAAGTTTTGAGACGTATGGGAGTCCCCCTGCAGCAGGGATGTTGCGGCCACTGCTCGGCTGCATCTTTTTCCCAACCATCCTGTGGTGTTGGGTCCTCGTTTTGAAGAGGCAGCGCCCTGCGTTCCTTCCTCCTTCCTCCTCCCCCTCCTCACTCCCCCCATCATCACCCTCCCCCTCCTCCCTCCCCCATCAGCATCAGCATCAGCATCATCATCAGCAGCATCATCATCAGCATCAGCATCATCATCATCATCATCATCATCAACAACTGCATCATCATCATCATCATCATCATCATCATCATCATCAACTGCATCATCATCAGTATCATCATCAACTGCATCATCATCAGTATCATCGTCATCATCATCATCAGCATCAGCATCAGCATCATCATCATCATCATCATCATCATCATCATCATCGTCGTCGTCGTCATCGTCATCATCGCCATCATCATCAACATCATCACCATCGTCATCATCATCGCCGTCACCATCACCATCATCGTCCTCATCATCGCCGTCATCATCGCTATCATCGCCACGCGTTTCGGCACACCCAACACAGCGTTTCGTGGCTCCATAAGGAGCTCCACCTGAGGCCCAATGACTGTGTCCACATGCGCCCCCCCCCCACCCAGCACAGCGTTTCGTGGCCCCATACGAAGCCCCAGTGGCGGTGTCCACATGCGTCCCCCCCCGCACTGCGCATCGTTCCGTGGCCCCATCGGGAGGGAGCTCCACCCAAAACCCCAGTGGTGGTGTCCACGTGCGTCCCCCCACCCAGCACAACGTTTCGTGGCTCCATAGAGCGCTCCACCTAAGTCACCAGTGGCCCCCCCCCCCACCCCGCACAGCGTTTCGTGGCCCCATAGGGAGCTCCACCTGAGGCCCCAGTTGCGGTGTCCACATGCTTCTGCCCCACAGCTTTGCGTAGCCTCATATGGAGCTCCACCGAAGGCCCCAGTGAAGGTGTCCACATGCGTCCCCCCCGCCCAGCACAGCTCTTTGTGGCGCCACTAGACGGGGCTCCACCCAAGGCCCCAGCGGCCGTGTCCATTTGCGTCCACCCCATCCAGCACAGCGTTTCGTGGCCCCATAAGGAGTTCCACCTGAGGCCCCAGTGGCGGTGTCCACATGCTTCCCCCCCCGCCCAGCACAGCGTTGCGTGGTCCGTAGGTAGTTCCACCTAAGGCCCCAGTGGTGGTGTCCACATTCGTCCCCCCACCCAGCACAGCGCTCCGTGGCCGCGGTGTCCACGTGCGTCCCCCCCACCCAGCACAGCGTTTCGTGGTCCCCTAGGCAGCTCCACCGAAGGTCCCAGTGGCGGTGTCCACATGCGTTTCACCGTCCCCCCCCCATCCAGCACAGCGCTTCGTGCCCCAATGGTGGTTTTCACATGCTTCCCCGCACGCAGTACAGCATTTCGTGGCCCCACAGGGAGCTCCACCTGAGTCCCCAGTTACGGTGTCCACATGCGCCCCCCGCACCCAACGCAGCGTTTCGTGGCCCCATAGGGGGCTCCACCTGAGGCCCCAGCGGCGCTGTCCACATGCGCCCCCCCCCTACCCAGCACAGCGTTGCGGCCGCATAGGGAGCTCCACCGAAGGTCCCAGTGGCGAAGTTCGCATGCGTGTCGCCCACACATCACAGCGCTCCGTGGCCCCATATGGAGTTCCACCGAAGGTGATACCCACAACTGCGGCACTCACAACAGTACATGCTTGGGTCCTTCGCCAAGCTAAGTTTTACCAGCGTGAGCTGCGAGCCCCTGGGATCGATGCTTAGAACGGAAGTGTGCAGCACAGAGTCTTAATCCCCCCAGATATTCTCGAGGGGGCACGCTGCATAGTGTCTTCGGAGGCCTTCCCAGGAGCATGCTGCACTCGCTTGCGTACCGCTGCCATTCAGGTCCTCCGGATGCAGGTACAAGCTGTATTCTCTCACGCACACTTTAAACGAACTTATGGGCACGATATGCAGAGGCCCTCTGCGAGTATATGTGATCTTCCACTGCTGTTTGCTCCCCAATCCGAGAAGCGAGGTCTTCCCCATCTATAAATCGAGTGGCAGTTTCTCTGGCTGAGAAGCTGGAGTGGCCATTTCCACGCTGAGGTATCGAGCTGTCTTGTACGAGCTGGAGAAGCGGAAGGCTGCCATGCCGAAGTATTTGGAGAATCCGCCCTTGTGGCTCAACTGATTTGAGCGGTGCAGGTGGATGAGCGGCGAGGGCGGATGATGGCGCTGCGTGAAAAGGAATGGTCCGTTCTCATCCCCAGGTCGGCTCGAATTTCGATCCTGGAGCACTGGCGTGCCTCTTCTTTCTATCTCTGCTCCTCATTCTTCTTCTTCTTCGTCGTCTATGGATGTTAGACGTTTCGATCGTGCCAGATCTACGTGCGGTGTCCACAGCTCCCACATCGCCCATCCAAATCGCAGAGTTGCATCCCGACCATGAAAAGGCATGAGCAACATTGTCTCTTCGCCAGCACGTGCGTAACTTTGTAAAGGATCCTGTGCCAACAGTTGCGCGAGAAAGTCACCCAGCAGGTCCGCACAACATTAAGCTCAGCCTCCTGGCATCCCTGTGCCTAAGCCTTAGAATCGGCATGTTCGCCGCTTTGATGTGTCCCTTCTGGGTTGTGTCGGATTGGCGAACGGCGTGAGGCTTCGCATTCGGCTGTGGTGCTTTGCTATAAACTGTCCGTCCGAACACTTTTCCCTCCTCATTTCGCTTTGCTGCGAGCATTCCAGAGCAGAAGAGTTGTGATGCTTAGGGGACGGGTCAAGCGAATGCTGCTGCTGATGATGATGATGACGACGACGACGATGATGATGATGATGGTGATGGTGATGGTGATGGTGATGATGCTGATGATGATGCTGATGCTGATGATGATGGTAATGATGATGACGATGATGATGATGATGCTGATGACGATGACGATGACGACGACGATGATGATGATGATGATGATGCTGATGATGATGATGATGATGATGGTGATGGTGGTGGTGGTGGTGGTGGTGATGATGATGATGTTGTTGTTGATGATGATGATTTGGTGGAGGAGCGTGAGCAGTCGGTCGGCCACGGTAAATCAATGAATGCAGGTGGTGGTGGTGATGATGATGATGATATTGATGATGATGATGATGATGATGATGATGATGATGATGATGATGATGATGATGATGATGATTTGGTGGAGGAGCGTGAGCGGTCGGTCGGCCACGGTAAATCAATGAATGCAGGCATCGGCTCGTATAGCGACACTGCTCGTAGCCCCTTCCTTGACAGAGGTTGCGAAAGGCAGGGGTTGGTCCACGCTGGACGGTTTTCCTGTCGTGTTTGTCCAGCTGTTTGTAGACTGTGCCCGAGCGCCAGAGAGCCGTCGCATGTGACATCCACTGGGGCATGGCCCATGATGGCCGCACCGTCTTTGCACCGATGGCGACAGCGCGCTGCAGTTGCGGGGACTCGGGAGGAGCTGCGGCTCAAAACTCTGGCACGTCGTGACGTTCGCGTGCGAGGACCGCGTCCGCTCGAATTCGGAGGGACGCCAACAATGCACCACCACCAGCCCTGGCCAAGTCCATCCTGGTCCCTGGACTGGTGTGTAGACCTCGAGTCCCAGGCCAGGAGGAGGGCCTGTACACCAGTCCAGGGCCCAGGATGGGCCTGGCCAGGGTTGGTGGTGGTGTATTGTCTGGAGCTCTCCTGCGAACACTTTCGATTCGTAGTCTGCAGTCCCAAGTCTCCGCGGGCCTCCGAATCGCCCGCACGGTTGCCTTGGTAGGGTCGGTGGGCCTCCGGATTTTTTGTTGGAGGCCCGTCTCCAGGGGCCTCTTGGCCGCCGCGCGCTCGCCAGCGCCGGCAGACGATGCCATTCGAACCCTCCAAGACCATTTGGCCCCGAGCTGGCCCTACCTGCCGAGCGGCCGCCGCCGCCCGCCAGCCCGCGGGGGGGCCGCGGGCGCCGCGCCTGCTCGGGTCGCCGCGCCTGCGTCTGGTGTGCGGGCAGGGCCCGCCACGTGGGCGCTGAGGTGCAGCTGCGGCGCTGCCCGGAGGGGAGGGCGAGCAGAGGCGGTCTGAGCATGTGAGCGCACATGTCCTCCAAAGCACGCGAAGGCCCAGCGGGTCTTCGGCACAGGCGTGGCAGGAAGCCGGGATATCTGTGGGAGCGCACTCTTTCATCCTCCTCCTCTGCACAGGCGGTATCGTTGCTAGCGTCCTCGTTGCCGTCATCATCACCACCATCGTTATGGTCACCATCGTCGTTTTCATCATGACCACCGCCGTCATCTCCGTCGTCGTCCATGTCGTCGCCTTTGTCACCTTCCTGCACGCGCGCATATCTTCATCCAGCCTCACCAGCACGAGCACCAGCACCAGCACTATCATCATCATCATCACCACCATCATCACCATCATCACCATCATCACCATCACCATCATCATCATCATCACCATCATCACCATCACCATCACCATCACCATCATCATCATCATCATCATCAGCATCATCAGCATCATCATTGTAATCGCGAATGTCATCAGTGGTATCGTTAATCTCATCATTAGTAATTAGCTCCGTCATCAGGGCCATCTTTGTCGTGGACATCGTCCCCGCCGCTGTCATGACCATCATCGTCGTCCTCGTCATCGTCGCTGTCGCCGCCCAATTGAGTTCAGCCGACGCGTTACAGGTGGATGGGTGGGTTTGTGCGCGAGCGTGGAGGTGGTCCCGTGCGGATGTGGTCAAAACTCAGCCATTACAGGTTCTCTCTCCTGAGCAGGCTTCGAATATACCCCCTCGCCGAGGCCGGGGTGAATGACACCCGTGCGAGTATTTGTTACGCACACACGCACACACATGTCTGTATGCATGCATATATGTATGTATATATGTATGTATGTATGTATGCATGCATGCATGCATGCATGCATGCATGTATGTATGTATGCATGTATGTATGTATGTATGTATGTATTTATGTATGTATGTATATATGCATGTATGTATGTATGTATGTATGTATGTATGTATGTATGTACGTACGTATGTATGTATGTATGTATGTATGTATGTATGTATGTATGTATGTATGTATGTATGTATGTATGTATATGTGTATAGGTATATATGTTTATATGTATGTATGTATGTATGTATGTATGTATGTATGTATGTATGTATGTATGTATGTATGTATATGTATATATATATATGTATATCTATATATTTATATACACATCCGTATAATACTAATGAATATATTGCACGAGCAATGATCTTCCAAAAGTAGCAACCAGCCAGTCTGGTATCGACTCGTCGTTCATACTTGTCAAATAACAGCATGCGGTGCAAGTGCGTTGATACAAAACGTTTTTGTCCCACGGACGGCCTGTGAAAAAAATCGGGGCACATCCGCTGTTTTTTTTCCCGTTTTTTTCCAGCACGTAGCTACATGTAAATTATCAAAGCAACGAGTTTTTCTTCGGGGCAGGAATCTGTCACATTTCTGCGCGAGCACTCGCTGAATTTATGGGGCAACCATGTGTTTTCAGCCACTCTGACAAGTAAAATCGGGCGGGCCACACGAGAGCGCGCATGTCGAAAACGTGTAACAACCGCGGGCCCGCCAACTTTGTCTAACAATACTGTGCGGGCCACGCGCGCGCGTCCCCGATACTGCATGCCAGAGATGCACCATAATATGTGCACATCGAGAGTGCCAGAACTGACCGTTTGGGGTCCACGTTGGCGAACATTGTTGTATTATTTGGATTCCCAATCGCGGGCTTACCGCCAGGACGCCCACTTCGAGTGCGAGCCCTGGTGTAGCCTTCTAGCGGGAGCGCAGAGCATGTCGCGACCAGCCGATCAATTCTTGGAGCCGGTTTATCCACTCGCATATGTCGACCTTCTTATGTATGGATACATATCTGGACATTTACACATAACAGGGGACTCGGCCCAGAGGTCCAGGGGTCACGACCATTATTTCAAATGGGGAGCTCGGTGACCAGCCCCGCCTTTGGGGGTCCCTGAAGCGCCCCGGAGAGCGGTCCGACGGGCGTCACGGCTCCCCAAAACAATCAAGATGGCCTCCACGATTGTCCGATGGCTCACTAGGCCTCTCGAGCGGCCCCCGAGGCGTCCAACACTCTTGAAGACCCGTCCAAGAGGTCCCAACATGGCCCCAATAAACACAAATCGTCCCATTCCCCTTGTAAAACATGCATTTTTAACTTTAATTCCCAACCATCCTGTGGTGTTGGGTCCTCGTTTTGAATAGACAGCGCCCCGCGTCTCCTCCTTCCTTCCTCCTTCCCCTCCTCCCTCCTCCCCCTCCTTGCCTCTGCACACGGCACGCCTCTCGCACGTTTCGTAGCCCCATAGGGAGCTCCACCGAAGGCCCCAGTGGTTGCGCTCGCATGCGTTTCCCCCACCCTGGGCAGCGTTTCGTGGCCCCATAGGGAGCCCCACCGAAGGCCCCAATGGTTGCTCTCGCATGCGTTTCCCCCACCCTGGGCAGCGTTTCGTAGCCCCATAGGGAGCTCCACCGAAGGCCCCAGTGGTTGCTCTCGCATGCGTTTCCCCTACCCTGGGCAGCGTTTCGCGGCCCCATATGGAGCTCCACCGAAGGCCCCAGTGGTTGCTCTCGCATGCGTTTCCCCTACCCTGGGCAGCGTTTCGTAGCCCATATGGAGCTCCACCGAAGGCCCCAGTGGTTGCTCTCGCATGCGTTTCCCCCACCCTGGGCAGCGTTTCGTAGCCCACTAGGGAGCTCCACCGAAGGCCCCAGTGGTTGCTCTCGCATGCGTTTCCCCCACCCTGGGCAACGTTTCGTGGCCCCATAGGGAGCTCCACCGAAGGCCCGAGTGGTTGCTCTCGCATGCGTTTCCCCCACCCTGGGCAGCGTTTCGTAGCCCCATAGGGAGCTCCACCCCCTTCTCCCTGGTTCGCCTCCCCCCCGTCCTCCGCACCGTGGGGTGGGGGGAGGCTCTCGCAGAAGTGGTCTCGCAGAAGTGGTCGAGGCGCTCCCCACGCAGAATTCGTCGAGACGCTCCCGCAGAATCAGCCATTCCATCGCGGCGGCGCGCTTTT